CTGAATATAATAATATCTCACCCAAGTGAGTGTTCAAAGCGATTGTGGGAAGTGCCCGGATACACCAGATATGTTCCTCCCAGCTGTTTGATGTGTCTCAGTCTCTGAAACTGAGGAGTATCTGTGATCTTCACCAGCAGGGGGTGCAGCTCCATGTGATGATGGATGGGGCCGTTGAAGACCTACAAAATACAGACTTCAGTTTTCTAACAGGTTTTAACTTATAACTAAATATAACTTGATGCTTCCAACTTTGTGGTCATATTGTCTCTTAATTAGGATTCGAAATAGATGAATATTAAGTTTGCTCTTTAACAGAAGCAAGGGCAGGAGAACAGCAGGGAAACTCTGTCTCTTCATGCAGTGTGCGCATGTCAAAAGATCAAATCCAATACTGAAACTTATGACATATAAACCCGCACATCACTTTATTTAGCCTTCAAGTAAACATTACGTTCGGATTCATCAATCGGAATGATTTCATAGTTGTTGTTTTTTTTTCATATAGTGTACCTTTAAGGTACTTGTAATGTAAAGAGTTTTAGTTTCAGTTTAAGGGCTCCATGTCCAATGAAATAATCCACGCATTCCATTTTTCTGAATAAAACGTCTTCCTTCATTCGTGGTTAGTAAATAAATCAAAACAAACAAAAAGGATACAAAAATATATTTTTAATAAATATCACGGATGCGGTAAAGAAGCTCCTTCATACATATATATATATATATATCGACTGATTTGGTTGGTTGGTTGGTTGGTTGAAGGACACATACATTTGTCTGTTATTATATTTTTAGGATGTTAAACTTGTTTAAGTCATATCATTAGTTTTAATAAATTAAGGTGTTCAAAAAATTATCCCGTCATGTTTATCTGGATTGATGAAATAAGCACTTTGTTTATCATTTATGTTAGTAAAAACTGTAAAACGAAACCTTTCTGAATAAACATCTCTTGAAGAAATCAACAATCTGCACATATCAATAAATATTAGTAGTATTTGTTGTTTTGATTAAGTAGTCACAGCAATATAACGTGTATTATCAGTGTTCAGTCTACACTCAGAGGCTGTGTTTCAAATCACACCCTACACCCTCATTCACTATTCCCTACATGAGTTTACTAATACAGTCCACCTGACAGAGAGAATCCAGAAACTGATGTTAACAAGCAGAATCACTGAAGAAAAGAAAAAGAGAAACAAAAGAACTATGACTGAAAATAAAAGACATTAAATCTCTCAGGATCTCAGCAGCGTTACTAGCTTTACTTATTATCAATAAGTCTGACTTTATTTCAGTCACATGTCTAAAGAAGTTATCATTGGGAATCATCAGAGTTTTAGATGTTGACATTTTATTGAAAATAATGGATTCATTTGAAGTATATCATTCGATTATCGAGAGCAGTGTTTGCTTTTGTTGGGTTTTTGACTTTTCAACATTACTTTTTCTTTGGCTGTTTGTGTTTTTTAAAGCATGTTTGTTAAGAAAAGCCAAGAGACAATGCAGACATGTTGGTTATGTGTTGACAGTAGCAACATCAGCACTGAATGACAAGATCAGCTTTACTCCATACAGAAATTACTTTATGTTGTTTTGTTAAGTTTATGAGGTAATCAGTAGTTATGAAGGAGTCTGAAAACACATTGTGCACATGACATTTTTAACTACGTTAACATTCAGATACACATAAACATCAAGAATCATCATATGACTCTCAACAATGGTGACTTTAAATGTTTCATGTCACAATGCATGCTGGGTACCAGCACAGGACAGAACTCACATCCCAACCAACGAAAAACACTGTTCACCATAATGGTAACCAAACATTTTCAATAAAACATCAACATCTAAATCTCACTAAGAGCGTCTGTGGACGTGAACTGGATGATGACATAATGATATAGAAGGAGATCTTTTAACATTTAATGTTCTGTTCTGTTCTGTTTGTCCATGTTTGTGGTGTCCGCGCACTGTTCACATTGCGTAATTTTTATCATCAGGAGCATTCGCAGACATCCGCACACCCCGTCTGTGCACAGCCCAAGGACAATGTGCATACAACAGCGCATACAAGAGTGAATTGAGCGCTTGAAAACAAAAGTCCATTAGATAGCATCCCTTTTCACGCTCACGGCAAAGAAAAGGCTTGTGCGCGCGTCTGTGAGTGAGACAGAGCGAAACTTGCACAGTGAATTAAACCCGGGCCTTTAATTTGTGCCAGAACAAGCCAGATCCGGCAGCTCATTCAGGGCATGCCCAATCTCATACACCAAACCAATGAAAGATCTTTGTTACGACCGGTGTTCATATGTTCAGGGAAATAAAGTAGGCCCATAATAACAATAATGTTATCAATTAGTTGCTATATCCATGTGGAATGTACTTAAAAAAAATAGTTAAGAAGTTGAATAAATGCCGCTAAAAATGGTGCATGCCATGTTTTAGCGAGGATCTATTGGATTTGACTTTTCGCTTTTCTGGCATTTGTGAATTGGGTTTCTGAAAATTATGCATGCAGTTCGTTTGCTGGAATAGTGTAAGTAATACAGTATTATAAATGGGTCGCATTTAAACCTACACATAGGTTTTTCTGAAAAACTTTAGTTTTTTTTCTCTCAATTAGTTAAGTTGACACTTAAAGATTTAAATTAGGCTAGCAACACGAAACTATAGAACTAAATAAAAAATATAATATAATGAATATAATGTTTTTTTTTGTGCCAAATACGTTTAACTAAAACCTGTAAGTTGTTAATCCAGCGATTCCTCTGCTTGAAGTCATGAGAAATGAGAATTATTGATTTATTTCTTTATTGTTGATGTTATTGCACTCATGTCGTTGCCTCTGTCGTACCTTTGTGTAACACATTTAGAGAGCATGTACTGTATTGTAACTGTGATGCGTCGACTGTCATTGATGTTTGTGTGCTGGAAGTCAAGATCAATAACTCTATGATATATATAATCAATAATTCCTCATGTATTTATCTGAAGGCAGGTCATCGCCTCACATTAGACTGTTATTATTAAGGCTTATAAAGAAAAAGACAAGACTAAATTATGAAATGCATTCATGAAATGTACTCATTTTTGCAAGCAGTTCCTTTAAATAAAGCACAATATGAATTTATCGAAACAATTAGATGCGGACAGGACTGTTATACTGTAAAACTGTAAATTTCACTGTAGTAATTACCTGGCAGCAGCAGCTTCACATATAAAGCACTGCATTTTTTAGGTTTGCTGTATATAGAATTACAGTGTAGCAAGAATTCTCCTGTAAATTAACAGTAAAATACTGGCAGCACATTTTCCTGTAGTTTACTGTAATTTTACAGTTATTTAGCCGCTTTACAGTATGTTACTGTAATGCACTAAATGACAATAACTGCCATGCATGCTTATAAACTAATATTTATAACATGTTAACAATGTGAGCAGATTAATATTCTAAATGTTTTTTATCTGAGAATACTAAAAAGAATGTTTCTTAAAATAAAACAAAACTGAGTTAAGCAAAAACGTAGAAGTTTTTGAAAACCCTATTATTTAGTAGAAACGTAAACTGCTAGCTAACAGCAGCACACATGCTTGTGCAGTTAGCACTAGTGAAGAGATTTTCACTGCATCAGCAAATCCACAGGTACTGCCTTTAAATAAAGCAACACGCAGCAGTCGCGTAGCAAGTCAGCCTTGGGCCCACATGCAAAAAAAACACAAAAACAATTGTAACTCTCTGTTGCGATATTAACAATTTTATTAAAAATTTAATGACAACAGCATGTCAGTTCTAGGTTTTCTTAGTTCTCAGTACTTAGTTCTCTCTTATTCCTAATAAATTTACAAGGAGCTTCTTTAGTAAATATGTTTACATTACAGTTTATGCATTTTATTTTGTTGAAAAAAAAAATCCACCTAAGCGACTGTGCGGGTTACATTTTGGAAATTGTATTCTTGTGCAATATTCCAAAATGTGCAGATGTAGATTAGTTTTCTTTAAACCTTTATAAGTTACCTGTGCAGTTTTATGCTTTGCTTGCAATTTGTTATAGTCAGCTCAACTTTGCACTGTACAAGAGATGGTGTCTTTTGCCCATGAATAATAGATAAACATTAATTGGTTTTATGTGGTAATATAAGTCAGTGTAGCAGTTTAAATGAATAAAGCAGCTCAGAACGGACAAACTATTAGCTCAGATTTGATTCATTTACTCTAAACATTTATTCGCTTTTGATCATGAACGTGTGCGCTACAGAAGAGAGCTCGGCTCCATAAAGCTGGGGTCGTAATACTATAGTATTCCTGGTTGTAATTGATTGTGATTTGAATAGTTTTATCGTTCAGTCCAGAATGTTCCTGGGGCTACTCTTCAGTCATCATTTCAGGAGTGACTCGTCATTGTGTTCACAGAACAATCAGTCCACTCCCGGATCTAGTGTGTATGTACAGACTGATTACTTCAACATTAATGACAGCTAATAAAACAGAGTTTGAAGGGCTGCCAGTAGAAACCTGTTGTAGTGAGGGCTGAATTACAGCAGAGGGCAGCCAACCACCATTACACGGCTCTATCCCCCTTGTTTTGAACAGAAGAGCAATGTGGCCATTTGTAATAGAGATGGGCAATACCACTTAATTATTTTGCTTTCGATACAATATCGATACTTCCAAAGCCTAGTATCGTTGAAACCGGCACCAATACCCCTAAACTTAACTTTTAAATTATTACATTTATTAAATTGCTAATTTATGACGAGTAAAATGGGTAATGATATCCATTTTAGCCCCTATTTGAAAGGCATAAAACATTCAATATGCCTAGATTGCAGCTTATTAGGTTATATTTTTGTTTACACATGGTTAAAATACATTTACTGTAGAGGTAACCATGGAAATCTACACATACTACAGTCACTGTATAGTACAAACATGGTTTATTTTCATAAGGGACTTACAGTTGCACCCATAAAACACAACCTTTTTATTCTGACAGTTTATGATTTATAATAAACATTAGTTCCAGAATAGAACATGATCAAGTTTACCGTTCACTTTAAATAAATTGCACAAAATAGGCTACAATTTCAATTTGTTTATTGTGAAATAACTCAAACATATTATGTTTTTCTGCCCTCTGATAATAATTGTTCTGTGCTGCCTGCATTGCCCAAAAGCATGGATGGTTTATGATACTTTAGGAAGCGCAGCCCTGTTTGAATGCAGAGTCAGCAGTGGGTGAACGCTCTCTGTGATTGATTAGTTCTGTCTTGCAGCATTTCCGTGTGTTCAGATGAGCAGGAAAATAGTTATGCATCCAATTCAGTGCATATTGTATGCATTAAATATATTGTTAATTGAACAAAATCACAGGTAAAAAAAAAAAAAAAATTAATTACTAATTTGTAACTTGTGCTTGAGACCTATGGTATCAGTCGATTCCAACTATTTTACCAGTACAAAAACAGTCATTGTGCAGCTTTATGTTGCAAACTGTTGTTTTATGGTGACCTTACAACTCATATTATCACCATGAACCAGGGAGAAAAAGTATAAGTGCAAGTTATAAGCGCTTCTCAAGCACTGCTCTGTGTAGCTCTAAAAACTTTGCAAATCATTTGTTAAAAAAAAAAAAAGTGTTTCGGAGCGCATATCACACTGCAAAAGTCATGAGATTTCAGCAAATGAGGCTTTGTATGGAAGGCTGATAGGGCCAAAACGCTTTAAACGGTACATGTGAAGTTTTAACGCGGAAATTTTGAATGTGTTTATTTTGAATGTGTTAGAGTAAATTATATTACAATGTAAATTAAAATGTTCCTACCTGAGAAAAAGACAAAAAAGACTGACACCACACACAACCTACCGATGCGTTATCCCTCATGAGCAAATATAATGTCTGATATTTGCATACATGCATGCCATTGTACAATTACAGCATCCTTCATGAATAAAAACATGATGTCTGATGCCTTCCTTTTGCTTCATCATGTTATCACTGTTTCGAAACGTTTCAGTGAACCCATGAACCAGTGGCTTTTACCTGATCCCGAGTCAGGTTTCTAAATGTGTCATTTAAGTTTAATCATGTTTTAAGCTAATGGATGTCTAATAAATCTTAACTCGTGTCAGTTGTTTCTGTGTTTGCATTGATGAATGCAGCATGAAGATATAATAAACCATTAAAGCCATTAACACAGTCACTCTGTAAGCATACAGTCTGTGTTTATGTTCATGCATTGTGCCATTAGTCTTGTGTGTTATGCTTATACAGTATGTTTCTCTGCATGTTTGCAGAGTCTTTCACACATATCCTCACACTTAACGCCCTGTTTGTGGGTGGAACCGTTCAGAGAAAGAGGAAGCAGAAATGTGAGAGGAGGATGTGTGTGTACTTTTAACGATTATTTACATTCATACATTGCATTGAAGGTATTTTGTCAGTTCTTGCTTTCTCTGGATTGTGATCTGTTTATTCTCTGAATATCAGTGAGACTGAAGTCAATCTGGAATGAGGGTCGCCATCATTACCATCATCATCATCACTATCTGTCTGATCTCAGGTCAGTTCTTTACTAGTCAGTCTAGTCAAATAATGCTTTAAATTATACGGTCCAGACTGAAAATATTAAATAACACAGAGCAAATGAACTTGTGTTTGGCAGGTCAGGTACTTTGTGTCAAAGTGACTGGCTGCACTGGAGGGAGTGTAATGTTCAAGTGCATGAACTCAAACCAGAGAAAGCCTAATGATCAGCATAAACGAAAGTATTTCTGCAGAATCAGAAACTGTAGGACAGGCATCAGTACTGAGTCTCAGCGCGGTTGGGTTAATAATGGGAGTTTCTCTCTGTATGGCGATGAAAACAGCAGATTCTTCACAGTGTTTATCAGGAACCTCAGCAGAGAGGATGATGGGGAATATACATGTGGAAACAATCAGGAATGGAGTCATGATGTTACATTAGAGGTGAACAGAAGTGCGTATGATACTTTATTACCTACTACATTAAGTATTATATTTTTATTATAGTACTGTTTAAAGGTGCACTACGGAAAAAACTTCAAACTGCCTCACTGCATTATAATATTTGACAACAGTATAATAATGATTTATAATTTGAGCTGAGAATGTTTATTTTTAATTTTTATGTTAGTCATATTTATGAGGTCACGTGTCGTCTGTAAACAGAAATAACACCCGTCTACTATGTATGACTCACTTGTTAAGATGACATTTCCCCCCCCTGGATACATGCCTTGATAGGATAACATTTCTCTCATGTTTTGATCACAGGCGACCATACAGTACACAGACCCAAAAAACAAGCACAACCTACATTAAAAAAAGGAATGTAATATTGAAATGTGTCAAACAGAGATGGCGATAGAGAGGCCAAAGTTCCCTAGTGCACCTTTAATAATACTAATAATAGTTCAAGATTTCAGTGTATGTTGCAATGATTTGTTGAAATCATTTTCAGCCTCTTCTTCTTGTGGGACGTCTGTTATCCGGACTGCATCTAAAGGACAAACAATCACTTTTCACTGTGAATATGATCATAAGTTTCAAACACAAACCAAAGTCTTGTACAGAGTGAACGGAGATCCTGTCCATGTGCTGAACAGCTCACAATCATCACAATCATCTGAGGAGAAGTTCGGCCAACGAGTTGGTGTTTTTTCAATGTATGCTTCAGACACGGGTCACGACGAGGCGTCCCCCATAGCGACCCCTAGAGGACGCAGTTCGAAGTTCCCATGAAAGGGAACAGAGTTTGAAGGGCTGCCAGTAGAAACCTGTTGTAGTGAGGGCTGAATTACAGCAGAGGGCAGCCAACCACCATTACACGGCTCTATCCCCCTTGTTTTGAACAGAAGAGCAATGTGGCCATTTGTAATAGAGATGGGCAATACCACTTAATTATTTTGCTTTCGATACAATATCGATACTTCCAAAGCCTAGTATCGTTGAAACCGGCACCAATACCCCTAAACTTAACTTTTAAATTATTACATTTATTAAATTAGTAATTTATGACGAGTAAAATGGGTAATGATATCCATTTTGACCCCTATTTGAAAGGCATAAAACATTCAATATGCCTAGATTGCAGCTTATTAGGTTATATTTTTGTTTACACATGGTTAAAATACATTTACTGTAGAGGTAACCATGGAAATCTACACATACTACAGTCACTGTATAGTACAAACATGGTTTATTTTCATAAGGGACTTACAGTTGCACCCATAAAATACAACCTTTTTATTCTGACAGTTTATGATTTATAATAAACATTAGTTCCAGAATAGAACATGATCAAGTTTACCGTTCACTTTAAATAAATTGCACAAAATAGGCTACAATTTCAATTTGTTTATTGTGAAATAACTCAAACATATTATGTTTTTCTGCCCTCTGATAATAATTGTTCTGTGCTGCCTGCATTGCCCAAAAGCATGGATGGTTTATGATACTTTAGGAAGCGCAGCCCTGTTTGAATGCAGAGTCAGCAGTGGGTGAACGCTCTCTGTGATTGATTAGTTCTGTCTTGCAGCATTTCCGTGTGTTCAGATGAGCAGGAAAATAGTTATGCATCCAATTCAGTGCATATTGTATGCATTAAATATATTGTTAATTGAACAAAATCACAGGTAAAAAAAAAAAAAAAATTAATTACTAATTTGTAACTTGTGCTTGAGACCTATGGTATCAGTCGATTCCAACTATTTTACCAGTACAAAAACAGTCATTGTGCAGCTTTATGTTGCAAACTGTTGTTTTATGGTGACCTTACAACTCATATTATCACCATGAACCAGGGAGAAAAAGTATAAGTGCAAGTTATAAGCGCTTCTCAAGCACTGCTCTGTGTAGCTCTAAAAACTTTGCAAATCATTTGTTAAAAAAAAAAAAAGTGTTTCGGAGCGCATATCAAACTGCAAAAGTCATGAGATTTCAGCAAATGAGGCTTTGTATGGAAGGCTGATAGGGCCAAAACGCTTTAAACGGTACATGTGAAGTTTTAACGCGGAAATTTTGAATGTGTTTATTTTGAATGTGTTAGAGTAAATTATATTACAATGTAAATTAAAATGTTCCTACCTGAGAAAAAGACAAAAAAGACTGACACCACACACAACCTACCGATGCGTTATCCCTCATGAGCAAATATAATGTCTGATATTTGCATACATGCATGCCATTGTACAATTACAGCATCCTTCATGAATAAAAACATGATGTCTGATGCCTTCCTTTTGCTTCATCATGTTATCACTGTTTCGAAACGTTTCAGTGAACCCATGAACCAGTGGCTTTTACCTGATCCCGAGTCAGGTTTCTAAATGTGTCATTTAAGTTTAATCATGTTTTAAGCTAATGGATGTCTAATAAATCTTAACTCGTGTCAGTTGTTTCTGTGTTTGCATTGATGAATGCAGCATGAAGATATAATAAACCATTAAAGCCATTAACACAGTCACTCTGTAAGCATACAGTCTGTGTTTATGTTCATGCATTGTGCCATTAGTCTTGTGTGTTATGCTTATACAGTATGTTTCTCTGCATGTTTGCAGAGTCTTTCACACATATCCTCACACTTAACGCCCTGTTTGTGGGTGGAACCGTTCAGAGAAAGAGGAAGCAGAAATGTGAGAGGAGGATGTGTGTGTACTTTTAACGATTATTTACATTCATACATTGCATTGAAGGTATTTTGTCAGTTCTTGCTTTCTCTGGATTGTGATCTGTTTATTCTCTGAATATCAGTGAGACTGAAGTCAATCTGGAATGAGGGTCGCCATCATTACCATCATCATCATCACTATCTGTCTGATCTCAGGTCAGTTCTTTACTAGTCAGTCTAGTCAAATAATGCTTTAAATTATACGGTCCAGACTGAAAATATTAAATAACACAGAGCAAATGAACTTGTGTTTGGCAGGTCAGGTACTTTGTGTCAAAGTGACTGGCTGCACTGGAGGGAGTGTAATGTTCAAGTGCATGAACTCAAACCAGAGAAAGCCTAATGATCAGCATAAACGAAAGTATTTCTGCAGAATCAGAAACTGTAGGACAGGCATCAGTACTGAGTCTCAGCGCGGTTGGGTTAATAATGGGAGTTTCTCTCTGTATGGCGATGAAAACAGCAGATTCTTCACAGTGTTTATGAGGAACCTCAGCAGAGAGGATGATGGGGAATATACATGTGGAAACAATCAGGAATGGAGTCATGATGTTACATTAGAGGTGAACAGAAGTGCGTATGATACTTTATTACCTACTACATTAAGTATTATATTTTTATTATAGTACTGTTTAAAGGTGCACTACGGAAAAAAACTTCAACCGCCTCACTGCATGGTAATAATTCACAACAGTATAATAATGATTTATAATCTGAGATGACAAATGTCAGTGTTATTTGAGAGGTCATGCAAAGAAGGCCCGTCTACTAAACGTTACTTGTTCAAATGACATTTTATCTGGATATTTGCCTTGTAGTAGAAACGTTTTCTGCCAATATGTCTCTGTCTTGATGTACAGTAGGATGACAGATCTGTCTTATGTGTTGATCACAGGTGACCCTACAGTACATAGACCTAAAAACAAACACAACCCATGTTATCGTAAATAACTCTGCAAGGAAAGTGACACTTTATGTGTCAAACAGAGATGGCGATAGAGAGGCCAAAGTTCCCCAGTGCACCTTTAATAATACTAATAATAGTTCAAGATTTCAGTGCATGTCACATTGATTTGTTGAAATCATTTTCAGCCTCTTCTTCTTGTGGGACGTCTGTTATCCGGACTGCATCTAAAGGACAAACAATCACTTTTCACTGTGAATATGATCATAAGTTTCAAACACAAACCAAAGTCTTGTACAGAGTGAACGGAGATCCTGTCCATGTGCTGAACAGCTCACAATCATCACAATCATCTGAGGAGAAGTTCACCCTGTCTGACAGTCAGAAAGATCATTTTACTGTGAGCATCAGAAACATTTCTGCTGCAGATGCTGGAGTTTATTTATGTGGAGTGGAGAGATATGGACCTTCACACACTACTACTCACATAACCTTCATTAAAGAGATTCATCTGCATGTTTCTGGTGAGTTTAGCTTCATTTTGATGATAAAATCCTTACAGCTCTAAATAAGAAGCATAAATCCCTCCTGACTGTTAATAATGTAACAAATTGATGAATAAATCTCGTTTTGCAGGTCAAATAACCTCTGTCCAGGTTCAGGCCTACATCAGTAATAATAATAAATAAATAATTACTTTTAACTGGCCAATTGAAATGCAGTGAAAGTCAGCAGGGTCCAATGCTGTTTGGTTACCAACATTCGTCAAACAATCTTTTGTGTTGCACTGAAAATATAAAGTCATACAGATTTCGAGCAAAATGAGGCTTAGTAAATAATGACAAAACACCAAAAAATACCCATAATGTACTGTGTTAATAAGAAGAATTTTTCCGTATAGATTTTTCACAGGTGTTTTACTTGTATTAAAGGAAATGTCTGTAAACTTAATGGATAATGTCCTGGCAGATTTTTTTTTCTTACAGTGTGATAATTTTTTGGTGTACTGTCCCTTTAAAGCAGCATGCTGTGGTGAAGTCTGTAGCCTCAGTCTGATGTGTGTGATGAACAGAGTCATTTTCACACCAGATTTAAAACACAGAGCACAGGAAGCAACAAACCAATAGCACTCTTTTAATGGCTCTTGCAACAGAAGGGGCCTCCGCTTGTGCTCAGAGCCCCTCCCCAGGGTCAGAGATTAACCGGAGTTTAAGGCAAAAAAAAGTCAACAAAATAAATAAAAATGCCCCAAAAATTCAAGATACAGTGCAAATGTCTTGTTTTTAATGTTTATAAGCAATTCCACACAGCAAGAGTGCCGTGTTCCTGATTATCAGCGGCACATTTGCAAATGTAATA